CCAGTAAGTTAAATATAAATCCATAAACAGTTTACTACAATAAGCTTGACAATTATAATGCTGAAAAGGATGTTTCATATCAACTAGTGATTCATCATGCATTGTTTAATTTATTAAAGAAGATATGCATTTGTACTTAGATCAATAAACTTGAAAGAATTCTTAAACATACCATGTGTAGGTGTGTTTGCGCAATTATGAATGATAAGCAGAAGTTATTTTTACTGATAACAATAAAACCAGCTTTAGTGTTATTCAAAAAGTATACTGTGTTTACTTAACTCATTGACCATAGTGTTTAATGGTAGTTGTTTATTATAATGATTAGTTTTGTTTTATTTTTCTCTTTGATAAAAAAAATCAATCATGACCTACATTGAAGTACTTTATTTTCAAATAGAATATCATTGTTAAATTAATACTATGATTTTTATATAAGAAAATCATGACTTTAAAGATTCATGATTCAGTCAGATCAAAAGGGAGATCAAAGAACACTAGATCTCTGGATGAGAACTTAGTCATCTAAAGGTCCTGGGTTTGGTCAGTGTTAGGGTCAAAATTGTACAGTACTGGTCATTTATAAAGCCGATAACAAGCCCTCAGAAAACTGGGTTTCAAGCTTGGTGGTGCTCAGTAGTATTACAGGTTGATCGCTTTTAGATTCAACGAGTAATACTGGTGTATTGACATGAAAATTAAAGTAGGCGGAGTTTTGGTAAAAAAGTGAAGTGAATTTAAAACTCAGTAAACAGAATCTTATAAATTAAATGTTCTCTTTATTGACATTTGGAGGCTGAATAGTTTGCTTGAATTGTTTTGTATTCAGAATTAGTTACAGAATGTTTTCATTTGAACTTCTCAGCAGTGAGTACTCACAACTCCGCCAAGGGTTGAACTCAGAACCTTTTGATCTGATGGTGAACGCTTAACCGTTAGAACCACTGAGGGAACAATTCAAACTTCAATAAATTTCACCAATCTCATTGGTGACAACTTTCTTACTTTGGCACTCTTAGAGTTCTGGTAATGACCTCTCAAAGTTAATCATTAGTAAGAAAATGATGTGGTTACTTATCCTGAGTTCAATCCCTTGGAGGTCGTGAATGTGAAATACTGACGAATCACATGCAAGAACGAAAAGTATATCCAGCAACCTCAAGTTTTCGAAGTTGCATCAACTAAGATCAATGATTCGCAAATGCAGCCCACTAGGCTGACCATCGTTACTACGACACATTGCGTTAAATATCATTATATACATATATATTTCAAAATATGATACTTTAAAATTTATAGACAAAATCTTGAGTCATTGGTAAATACGGTGAAGCCAAGACAGTTAATTTGATTCAACTATAAAACAAACTAATTTTAATTACCAACTTGCCTAAAATCTTTGAATTAAAGGTTATTTTTTGTAGGGGGATTTTAGTTGATTTTCTGTGTTTCTCTATTTACACCTTGGTGTTGTAAACTTATTTGAGTCGAAGAAAAACGCTTATTTCATTAGCTTGTTTCATATGTCATTGAATTCCCTAAGGTTTTATCATATCAACCGACTATTTTGTATTGTTTTAGTGATCTTCAGTTATTTGTGACAGCTTTAAAATTCTCTGGTTAATTCCTACTCTCCGTGTAGACTTTTAGGTATGATGATAACTGTTATTTTTCGGTTATGCTGCATTTCTCATGTCTTCATTTGTCAGACTTTATATTTTATTGCATATGCTTTTTACACACTCTTATCACTATAAATATCTAGATTATCCAAACAACTTCTGAATTTCCTCTGATAATTCGATATTCTTCAACAGTTCAATGTTTGCTTGTCAATGTACCAATCAAAAGTTCTACATAATATTGTTAGATACTGGACAATTTAAATATTCTTACTAAAATGACCTTGCAAAATTTCAAAAGTACCAATGGTTATATCCCTTCTTTTTTAGTAAACCACAAGACGTTATTTGAATATATATTTCTAGCTTGAAATCAACTTCGTTTTTAAAGACCACATTATGAAGTGTTTACTAATTCAATAATCTGTTTGAACAAGTAAACCAGTGAAATATATGGATATATCTATATTTAATATAACTTTATTAACCGTATTATTATTATTGTTAGTAGGACGATTATATTTTAATGCTTTGGTTAATTATAAAACACCAACCTTAACAATTCATGATATATTACTCGGGAATACATATATATCTATATATATAAAGCTACAACCCAATCAGCTGAGAATCTGTAAGTGAAACTAGTACATAAAAGGTAGATTACATTATATGCATCATAAAAGAAGCACATGACAATGATGATTGCATCAATAATTCAAGTATATTCTATTTAGTTTAAGAGTATTATTATTGCAATTTCATGAATCAGTTGTATGAATAAATCTACCATCTGATTACATAGATTATAAATTTTATTCATTAATACAAAACAAATGAAGTAATTCTTTAAAACAGCTCAATTCTGAATATCTAAAATGAGCAAAAAAACGAAACGAATTTTCTAATTTTGTCATAATTTTCTTCAAATGAATCCCGTTTCTAATGAGTTGAGTGATGGTTAATTCATGTGCTATAAAGAACTCAAAATTATTTGTCTATAATATAACTGTATTAAGATGGGAATGTGTCTATATTCTAGTTCAAGAGAATTTTGATTATATTTCAATAGTGGATATTCAAACCGTTTACACAAAATTCTCACTTATGACCCAAACTATTAATCGAAAGGTGAGGAAGACCATGTAAATATATTGTATTATTCTGTATAACTCAGATGGAATGGCTTACAAAGAATTAAGTTGTCATTAGTTCACTCCACTGATACAATATTTGATATCAGTTGCTAATAGAAATGAATTATAAATATTAACAGTTTAAACTTGTATTGTAAATCTATTAACATTTTATTCTCTTTGTAGTTTGTCTATGCGATGATGACCTTATAAAATAAACGATACATATTTTCACCTCATAGTAACCTGATCAGGAAATCTAATGAATTATCACTAAATTACTAATCGAATTTAAGAACTGAACCATCAGTTATTGAGCTTTAGCATCAAACTCAATTTTGTTAATAGTCGAATACTATAAACTAAACTACGAGCTAAGAGTTACAAATTATTATTTAGTCACTTAAATGAGTAATAGTTCTTAATTTCAGTTAGAAATTATGGTTCTAATTACTTAAGCTCTACAAAATAATAACATACAAGTGTAGTGCACACAAAAAATACTTCAACTTAAGTGATTGACAATAAAATCATAATATCACGTTACAAGGCCATGTTTTTTTCAATTTTTACACCTACATTGTTATTGATATTGATTTTTTTTCAAGGTGTTATACAGGTAGTACATCATACAGTACACTATGACTAGAAAAATTAGAAATAGGTTTTAAATGGGGAACATTCATCAGGTTTTGATTTAAGATCAATTCCAAAACTGATAAAATGATTTACCTTGGTCGTTTCAGTTCTCGAATTTCAAATCTTAGATTCTACGTCTTAGACAATTACGGATAGAATAGTCTAATAATATCTCTAGACATTAACAAAATAGGTGTACATCAGACCATAGTAAATATATTTGAATTTGACTACTGAATACTATCACGAAGGTTACTTCACTAACATTTAACTGAAATTGTTGTATAGAAGCTAAATCATTATTTGTACTTTAAAAAATATGGAAACTAATATTGCATAAAAATAAATCAGGATAACTGTAGAAGTGTATACTCACTGGTAAGTTATAAGTGTACTCAAGATTGTATATGTATATATCTTTTTTTCAGTCTTTAAAGCTGATATCTCAGTCCTGTAGAATATATATTTACGTATACAGGAGAAGAGAAACAACTGGGAAGCGCTTTGTTCCTCTATAGTTCATTTTCAATATGACAAATGTTTTTCGCATATGACAGAACACCTACCCACTATAATAATAATCAATATTATTATTTTTATCATAATGGGTGAATCTTGATTACATTTTGAGAAAGAAGACATTAAAAAAACACATACCACACGCATCATGTTTTGTATCTTCTATAAATTATGCAATATTAATGGGAATCCAGGATGAAAAATGTGTATTGATAATAATTTAGTAACATTTAAGCCTCAACATAGAAAATATGTAAACGAATCACTTCACTATCAGGTTGATAAAGAACTCATATGTCATTTGTCACTTATCCGATAACATAGTAAACAATACTGAATATTAATAGGGGATGGATGCTACAGAGATAGAGGTTGGTTGGAAACGATATTGAATTAATAATCAAATAATTTAATAATTTAGTTTTATTGAACTATGAACGATTATCTTCTAGAAATGAATGAGTCTTCAAAAACTAAGAATAATCTTGAATAGCTTAAATAGTGTCTTCGGAGACTTTTTGTTGTATTCCTAATTAAAAACTATTTGACTGGGTATGAAGATTTAAATTACAAATATTATTTGTTGTAATAAGTTTGATTAAAATGTATTCATAATTCTAATAACAAAGTGAAATAAGAATATATCAAGAATTGAAATTCTTTTTCAACATTCTAGAAATGTAGCGAATATATCTGTATGTGGCGAGACTAATAATTTATGAACGAACCAATCAGGTACAAGATAACAGGTCTTGGATTTCGGCGCAAAATTCACTCACCCATTTGGATACATAGAGTTTTGGCATTATAGCTGATGTCAGTTTGTGATGAAAACTCTAAATCTAATTCCTAACTTTAGCCATCAACTGTAAATCATAATTCTAATTCCTCACATAGGTTTATAACCTTCATTTGGTCCTAGTTATTAAGTGGACACTCTGAAAGTCACTTTAACGTCGCTCAAAGGTCATGCACCAATTATAATCTCACCCTGTATATACGTATATATGTATGTATGTACGCGTATATTATTCTTGTTAATAAGTAAGTAAGAATATATCTAGTCAAATAATCATAAACTTACTTATTTACTTAAAAGAGAAAAGAAACTCGATAGTTAATTCATCCAATTACGTAAATAACATGAAAGAAGTATGAATTGCATTAATAATTTGTAGTATAAATCCAGTTGAAATTGTTAAACTGAATCTCAATAAAATGATACAAACAGTCAGTAACTAAAAATAATAAAAATATGAAAGTATCATTGAAAAGGTTAACAAGATTATCCATACTAACCAATCAAATGTAAACTAATCATTGATTGGTTAACTTAAAATTATAAAATCAATAATTAGAACATTTTTCGAGCACATTTTTGAAGGTTCATATTTAGTTTAATGATAAAATAAAAAATGATTATCATATAAAGTAACCTATGAAATATGTTTTTTTATCATTTTTTTTACAATTTCATTATTTTATCCATGTTGTTGTATGTATAGAACTAGAACTTAAATGATATTTGATTAGTTACAATAAAAGAAACGATTTACAACATGAAGAAGAAATGAAGGAGTTGATTCTTGTTGTTTTTGTTGTTGTTGTGAAATTCAATAGATGACGTACTAGTTTACGTAAAATATAACTTTCTAAGTATACAATATATAAATTTTAATCGAATTCATAAATGAATTCTTTTTATAGATATACAAAAATAATTCATTTTGATGAGTGAAGAAAGTCATATTCTGATAATGATAACGATGATGATGATGATGGTGATATCATTTTCTATAGTTAAGAATTCGAAATTAAAATGTTTTTTACAATTTATATATGAAATAAGTTTTGTACTTTTTGTTGTTGTTGTCATTTCAATTGAGTATACAAGTTGATTGGTTTTAAGTATTTTAAAAGGGGGTATTATACGCTTACTACATCTTGAAGTGATTTGTAAAAGAAAGAAAATAAAATCAAATTGACAGTTGAAAGTATACTTAATTACTATAAGATTATCTTTTATATAGGAATAAGTAAGGAGTCATCTTGTCAGTGGACATAAACATTTTTTTGTTTCTACAATTGTAAGTAGCTAATTGGTTGTTTGTATGTACGTCAAATTATAAGTGAACGCAACGATATTATGTTAGAGACAATTGGAAACAATATTTTTAAGTGACTTATTTTATCAAGGTGATAAATTTTGAGAAGTGGGAAAAAACATTTGAAATCCTTGTGTTTCCACTTACAAACTGTCAACAGTCATCGTATATGGACCCTGTGGAAGCAAAGATAACTGTTCGGTAAAATGTAGAATTAGATAAACTATATTATTCAGTAACTAAATAGTGTATTTTTAATATCCTAATGAGTAGAAAAATTAGATTTCCCGACTTTCCGTGACTTAGTATGTGCCACTTCTTCAGAGAATAAATAACCAAACCAAAATTAACCCAGGTTTAAATAGTACAACGGTACAATAGTACAATGGTCCGGATGTTTCACATTATTTATCACATTATTTTTCCCTATTAACCTTGTTTCCTTTTACCTTTCATTTGTCTACTTGATCAAATTGTTTGAAATGTATTGCGTCAATATATCGCATCGTTCTGATAATCTTTATCATATTATTACATTGTCGAAATTTATTAAAGGGACTAATTGATTTAAATACCTAATTGAAGTTAGTCAATGACACAAACTATGAAACTGATTTATTTCAAGAGACGAGAAAATATTATCAAGTCTATGATGTTCACCATCTTTTAGGCATTATATTCGTTAGGTATATTGAGCGAAGATAGATATATAGATCATTTCGAATATGTTGAGCATTGGGTAGATTGTTAGAAGTAAAAATAATAGATTTGTAATATCCTAATGAGCAAGAAAATTAGAATTTATGACGTTTCGTGACTCAATGTAGACCACTTCTTCAGCAAATAAACAATCAAATCAAAATTAATCCAACTTGAAACAGTACGACGGAACCATTGTGCTATTGTAACGATGTACTACATAAACTTGGATTGATTTTGATTTGATTACTTACTCTGTGAAGAATTGACTTACACTAAATCACGAAATGTCAGAAATACAATCTCCTACTCATTACTTACTTACGCCTGTTACTCCTCGTGAAGGAGCATAGGCCGCTCACCAGCATTCTCCATCCAACCCTGTCCTGGGCAATCCTTTCTAGCTCCGTTCAGTTGTAATTCATCGTTTTCATATCTGCTTCTATTATCCGACGTAATGTGTTCTTTGGCCTTCCTCTTTCTCGCTTCCCTTCAAGATTCCAAGTTAGGGCTTGCCTCGTGATGCAGTTTGACGATTTGCGTAATGTATGTCCTAGCCATTTCCATCGTCTTTTCCTAATTTCTTCTTCAGCTGGAAGTTGGTTTGTTCTCTCCCACAAAAGGCTGTTGCTGATGGTATCCGGCCAATGGATGTTGAGTATCTTGCGAAGACAGCTATTTATAAATACTTGTACCTTCTTGATGGTGGTCGTTGTAGTTCTCCAAGTTTCAGCTCCATACAGTAGAACTGCCTTGACGTTCGTACTGAAGATTCTCACTTTGATATTGCTTGAAAGTTGTTTTGAGTTCCATATGTTCTTCAATTGTAGGAATGCGACCCTTGCTTTGCCGATCCTCGCTTTTACGTCTGCATCTGAACCTCCTTGTTCATCGATGATGCTTCCTAGGTATGTGAAGGACTCTACATCTTCCAGAGTTTCGCCATCAAGAGTGATTGGATTGTTGTTTTCCGCTTTGAATTTGAGGACTTTGGTTTTCCCTTTGTGTATGCTGAGGCCTACTGATGCAGAGACTGCTGCTACACTGGCTGTCTTCATCTGCATCTGTTCGTTTGTATGCGATAAGATGGCTAAGTCATCTGCGAAGTCCAAATCGTCTAATTGATTTCGAGCTGTCCATTGAATTCCGTGTTTTCCTTCAGATGTCGAGGTCTTTATAATCCAGTCGACCACCAGAAGAAAGAGGAAAGGAGAGAGTAAACAGCCTTGTCTGACTCCGGTCCTTACTTGGAATGCATCTGTCAGCTGTCCTCCATGCACGACTTTGCATTGTAGTCCGTCATCTGAATTCCGGATAATGTTGACAATCTTCCTAGGAACTCCGTAGTGTGGAAGAAGTTTCCATAATGTCTTCCTATCTACACTGTCGAATGCTTTTTCATAATCAATGAAGTTGACGTATAGTGATGAGTTCCACTCAACTGATTGTTCGACGATGAGTAGGAGAAAATATAATCTCCTACTCATTGGGATATAATAAAAATATATTTATTATTAACATTCTATCCAGTGCCCAATTTATTTGAAATTATTAGAGGTAACTAGTTATCATCGTTACTTTACACTTAGATTGTTTATCATACAATAATAAAAGATATACAGTCATTTTGATTTGAAATCGTGCAGAGCAATGAGAACTCCTGGATCATTAGGAGGAAGCACATGGAATAATTGACAGGCTCACTGATTACAACATAAAATAATTTTTGATATTCTTATTGCAGTTTAGATCAAGAATGAATTTCAGAGGACTAGCTTGACTCCAACCTCTTCACGATGAAATTTAAAATTATTTGAATAAAAACGTTTACGTGAAGCAACAACATAGTGATCGATAAATTCTGTGTAAAAGTTCGGTACAGAGACTAGTCAATTGTAATCGACAAAAGTATTTTTAGTTTTTTTTGCGTAGTTCAAATATGAGTGATTGCTTTTGATTGAGATCATGAACCGATTGATATGAGACCACCGTTGGAAACCTGGATGCGCTGTACGGCCATTTCGTCCTATTGTGGGACTTTTAAGCAGTCCACAACCCCTATACTGATAACTGTCATGTGCTCAATAGTGACAAGCTTCGTGAAGGGATTCACGGAGTTCTAGTGAGAAACCGTGACCAGTTGAGCTAATCCATGTCGGGTAGAGACAGGTATCTATCTTAGTACAATGGAAGATGGCCGCGCAATTTAGCGGACTGGTTGAGGTTAGACATTAACACCACTAGATATATCGGCTCAGTGGTCCAGTAGATTAGGCATTCGCTCGCGAGACTGAAGGCCTTGGGTTCGAATCCCGTGAGCGGGATCATGGATGAGCACTTGTGAGGAGTCCCAAAATAGGACGGAACGGCCATCCAGGTTTTCAACGGCGGTCTAACATCAATCGGTCCATGATCCCAATCAAAAATTTAATGATTGCCACAACCCCTATATTGATATGAATGATTGTTTTTCATGTATCACATAAGAATTTCAATAGAAATAACTCCACTTGTTGCTCAAAACATAATAAATTATTGGGGGAAATCGGCAATTAAATTGACAGCAAATCAAATGGTGCTTATGGAATAACATGTAGCAATGCTTACATTCTGCCATGTATTTTTTTCATAACACACAACAGGCAATTTTAATTTTAATTTACTTGACTTATCGTAAACTCATAAAAGGTTAATTTATTCATGGCTCATGGATTAATGATAAACAAGCTGGAAAATCAGGAATGTTATCATAGATAATGAGTTCCATATGGCATATCTCCGTATAAAAATGAGGACAACCATGGTGCCACTAAAACTCAATCTCTTCAATGCTTCACATATTGCATTAATGAAAATTTTGTATGTGATGATTTCTTTGAATAGAACTGTCTATGAAATTGTCGAGGAAAATTCAGAAACACATTTACAATCGGAATATATTCTCATTCAGATGAATGAAGTTATCTGATGATATCTGTATAATATTGAGATAAGAGAATTGAGAATAAGCGTTGAAAAAAGTCAATTCATCAATTAATCTCTGTTTTATAATAATAGATGGAAAGCAATTGTTAGTTTGTGACAACATTTTGGTCGATTCATTTATCAGGAATGCTATCACAATGCCAGATAAATATAAATCGTTAGTTTTCAACGCTATATTTGCGTTTTTATTTAGATCACATGATCATTTTTCATATTTTTAACCACAAAATACCAACATGATAAATCAGATCTGTCGTATACAATGTGCAGTTTTTTAGATATCAATTGTGGGAGTACTAACAGAATTTACTAAGACGGTCGAGTACATCATAAATTGGTTTTAGGAAGAAAATCTTTAAAGAATGATGCTTCTTAGTATCGGATTTTCCAGAACTTTAAATGACGTCGTAAGAAATTTAGACCAGTGTTTCAAGGGTTTGTGGAGAAACG